TGGTTGCTTTAATTCCATACAAAGACCGAGTGTCGTTGTTTTAACACCACACAAAGACTGGATGTGGTTGTTTTAACCTCATACAAAGACTGGGCGTGGTTGCTTTAATTCCATAAAAAGACCGTGCGTCGTTGTTTTAACACCACACAAAGACTGAATGTGGTTGTTTTAACTTCATACAAAGACTGGGCGTGGTTGTTTTAATTCCATAAAAAGACCGTGCGTCGTTTTTAACACCATACAAAGCCTGGACGGGGTGGTTATTTCGTTGTCTTTAACTAATTGAAAGTCAACGTTAAGGACACTTTAGTTTGTAACGTTATGTATTATAATTAGGGTGGGATGTTTCCGGGTTGAGATCGTCTCCTACCGGTCTTAATGTGTTAGTTCGTCCGATGTTTGTATAAACACGTATAACCCATACATTGTTCATATAACACTTCACAACATCACAAAGTTCAAAGGTCACTAATACAACTATAGCTGATTACCATCTTATAAACTTATAACGGTAAATCTCTTTGATCTTTGGGGTATATTCTACGCCCGGAATAACTTGCGGTCTGAAAGTTGGGTGCGGTTTTGGATATATACAGGGGAAGTTTGGGTTATTCTTCTGGAAGTTTTTTTTTTAAATTTTTTTTTTATTTTCCATAAGAAAACATAATATAAGGTTTTTCTTACAGGAATTCTGGGATATTCTCATTTTACGTACATGTAAACATAGATGGTTTATAAGCAAGATAAAGTCCTCGGCTTCGGTTATGCTGTGGGAGAAAGACTTCAGAAAAACACCTTTTTCTTTTTCTCTGGTTATTTTCTTTAATCGTTCTTTCCCCAGTCTCGTGCTTTATCCTATGATAAGGTAAGTCATTTAATTAAGCGGAGTGGTTTCGATTTCCCGTTTGTACATGACAAGGAGTAGGGTCCCCTGTCCAACCTTGTGGGTTTTCTCCTGGTCCTCCTGTTTCCGTCTACTGCTAAAGATCCTACGCGCATGCAAATTAGTCCAGAAATGAATTAGTTTGTGTCGAGTGGACATTAAACCCCATCCCCCCGCCCTCTTTCCCCTTTTACATTTAACGGGGATATTAATAGTGTAATGCCCATTTTCCATTGACGCGTTTTGTGCGCGTTTTACATAGAAACGGTCCCATTACATTGGCTTTAGACTTGTATGGAAAACCGTGTACATGGAAAACGGACCTAATTTGCAATATACAATCATTGAATGAGAGAAATATCCGCTCTAATTTTTTAACTTTGTTTATAACTGTGTCTCGTTTGAAGAAAAAAGACGGAAGTTTTAAGTTCAGCCATGTTTTCTTTTCAGAGTATTAATTCAGAATTTATATAAATGATATTTTCCACACGTAGTATTTGTTTTAAAGAATGTCTCCAACTTTTGTTTTAGGTAGTTTGCAGTTATGTGTCAGATTATCCGCCCACGATCGACGATGTAGTAGTTTATCAGCAGGGAGACGCGGTGAATCAGCGGGTGAAGGCGCTGGCTCACTATAACCGGGTGCGATCCTGGTGTTGGTCGTAGCAGTTTATTAGCAGGTAGACGCGGTGACTCAGTGGGTAAAGACGCTGGCTCACTATAACCGGGTTCGATTCTGGTGTTGGTCGAAAAGGTTTATCAGCAGGGAGACGCGGTGACTCAGCGGTAGAGGCGCTGGCTCACTAACCGGGTTCGATCCTGGTGTTGTTCGAGAACGTTTCCCAGTATTGAGGGGCGGAAGGCCTAATGATTTCGAGGGGACGAAAAACCGAGTTCCACCTGTCTACTCGTACAATGGCATTCGGTGCAGAAATCACATTCTCGGCTAAATATTGACTGTGCAGTAGTAAATCGTTATTTAGATTTATTAATCAGATAGAGAAAGAAATGTTTAACGTTCACTCGACACAAACTAGGTCATTTCGGGACTAACATATGGTTCAATTTAATTTCAATAATTAAATCGAAACCAGGCAAGTTGACTCATAGACAGACCTAATGATACAACGCGTACGCTCTAACCATTCGACCATCCGGCCCCAATCATAAATACACAGACGAGAGGTGTTACTAGCACCTTCACGGCAACGGGTAAAAAAATCAATTTCATGTGATATGACTATTAGTATATCAAAGTCCAATCAGATCGTTGCCATGGTGATATCCACGGAGTATCACACCATTCTGTCAGTATTTCAGTTACGTACTTTGTTTTTGATTATCCTATATATCTAAATTACAGCTGAGATGTTAGTTTTCAATTTACGCATCGTACAAATATTTTTGTGTTTTTTATGGAGTTTTGCTAACGCACGTGAAAAATACCTTGCTTGGTTAATGTGCTTGTTCTCTATATAGTTGCATGGCAGAATGGTTAGCACGTGCGCGCTGTATCATAAAGTCTGTCATTGAGTCAACTGGCGTGGTTTCGATTCCCCGGTTGTACGTGACAAGAAATGGGATCTCCTGTCGAACCGGGGTGGGTTTTATCCGTGTCCTCCGGTTTTCTCCCACTGCTAAAGACCCCTACGCGCAAACGAATTATTGAAATAAAATAAAATTGAACCATATGTTAGTCCCGAAATGACCTAGTTTGTGTCGAGTGGGCATTAAACCTCTTAGTTACAGGAATCCTAGAATATAATCCATTCGGCGCAGCATTAAGAAAAACTGAGCAGACAACATTGTTAATAGACCTACCTTACTTCTATAAGCCCATCTTAATGACCTGTATAAATATTATCACAACTACTGCGTCTCTTCATTTATTCATTCATTTATTCCTCCTCATACATTCAAAGATGTGCGCGTGTTCATCAAAGTAGATGTTCCTTTATCCCCCCCTCCGCGTATACACGTGTACTTAATGAAACGTTTAAAAGAATAAATTGCCAACCGCTAAAATTACGTAAAAATTAAACCTGAAGTATCTCTCATTGTAGCTATACATTATTAACTATGAGACAAACCTAAATTATCTCCCAATGTAGCTATAATTTGTGATGGTTGTCGTACAGGAGGCAGGATATGCTAATACTTTCTATAACGCTTCATACTAGATTAAATGTCAAGGAGAGAAAGAGAGAGAGAGAGAGAGAGAGAGAGAGATAGAGAGAGAGAGAGAGAGAGTATTGAAATTAGTTCGACCGTACAATATTACGAAACCCCGTAAAATACAAGTTATGTGGAGTGTATTACATGAAATTAAATTCCAAAGTTGTTTTGAAATATTTTCTTTAAAATGTATATTCAAAATTAATGCATCACTTATTCATATCAACGTAAGGTCAAGGTCATTAAAGTATATGTGAAAATGAAATGAAATGGGGTTTAACGTCCTACTGTTCTGCTCCGAACTGGGCTAATGAAGACGGGCATACGCCATACAGTGTGCTATGAGGGAAATTTTACCCGGACAGCGGTGCTATGACCTACTCTTATATCGAATTCCAACTGTCAAAGGATCTTTTACGTGCACGCGGATGTGTACACGGGACCTCGGTTTTTCGTCCCATCCGAACGACTAGACAGCTGTCCTTGTCAGACCCTCCGTCCTGCATCACTGACGAGGGGAAACCACGCCGGAAAATCTGAATGAATAAGTGTGTGTGAAAGAAAATAATGTCAATGTTTATAAAAAGGTGAAAGGCTTTAAAACTGAACGGAATTGGCCATAATTTTGTGTCCGATGATGTAAATTATAACCGTGTCATCATGATCCAGTAAACAATGGCGGTTTGACATTATTCCGGAAGCAAGAAAAAAAAATATGGCGAAGATAACGAACGAGAAGAGATAAAACTTCATGAAAACGAAAAGACAAATCTATAACTCTAACGCGTAGACTGAGAGTCTTGCTTTAAAGTTGCAATTTCAAATTTTCAAGTTATATTTTTAAAATGTATTAAAATAAAGCCTTAAAATAGATGGTATCCATAAACAGTCCTACCTTGTTAAAGGATAATCCTATTAATCCTATAATTCACTATTGCCAGTTGAGAAATTGGCAAAAATGTCATTTTTAACTTCAAATTCCAACGTTGGAAAATGGCTGCCCCATGTTGTCAATAGCAAAACAGGGGAGGTAATTGTGTTGTTATTTCCTGTGTCATAGATTTTTAAGGGTGGGAAATAATGCCCATGATCGTATAATAGTGAGTTGATAACGTATTGAGCAAAAGACATAGAAATAATTATGTTTTGACTTTCTTAGAAAATTTGAAATTCTCGCTTTAAAGAAAAAATCTATGACAACCATAATGCAGCGCGCGCATGGAAGTCTAAAGCAAATGTAATGGGATCGTTTCTATGTAAAACGCGCACAAAACGCGTACATGGAAAACGTTAAATGTACACAATTTTATATAAAGAGAGAAAGAAAGTGAGAGAGGGAGAGAGAGAGAGGGAGAGAGAGATGAGGTTTAACGTCCACTCGACACAAACTAAGTCATTTCGGGACCAACAAATGTTTCAATTTTATTTCAATAATTCGCATGCACGTAGGGGTCTTTAGCAGTGGGATGAAACCGGATGACCTGGAGAAAACCCACGAGGTTGGAAAGGCGACCCTACTCCTTGTCACGTACAAACGGGAAATCGAAACCACGCCACTGGACTCAATGATAGACCTGAGTGATGTTTCGATCAAATATAAAATAGGATGGAACAAACTATACAAGACTTAGTCTATCATTCTCCATACGAAACGTCCGCTGTCTCTCTATAGTTAGGCCTACTTGACAACAGACACGAAGCTATAGGCGACCTACATTTTAATTCATATATCAACGAGTTTAGTCGAAAACACGAAGTATTATCCCACTTCCATATTCATATTTATTTAAATAAACAGAAAATCCTTAGTCATTCTTTGTTTGCGAAAAGAATTAGAAACAAATACAAAAACAGTACAGTAATTTTTCAAAATTCAGAGCAGATATCTATAAGCAGAGTATGGCGTTCTTCGAGTGCAAAATGATTCTTCTATTATACTTACAATTTCTGAAACAGTGACGAAGTTGTATCGATCTGTAGAACCACTTCGTTTCACAACACGTCCGTTCGAAACAGATCTCAATAATCCGAAAAGATCTGCACCGGTAGTGTTATCCACACTACAGCCCACCCGTTCAAATCTCAGTTTCCTCACACTGGTAACGAAGCGAACCGTTGATTGTACTACAGCTAGGGTAGCCACGAAATGACCTGACCGCTCACTCAAGCCGTTGATCGCTACACTTTTGTCTTATTGTTCGCGGCTTTAATCACGCTAAAACAAAATTCAAATAACAATGGTAGATTATCACCCGGCTGGGATTAAATCCGATTAAAATGATGCTCATCAAAAGAGTTTATGAAGATTATAGGTGACACGAGTTTTTTTGATCATATTCAATTAATATCATCTGAAGAAGAAGCCAAAAGTTGACAAAGTAAAAGTAAAAACCGAACGAAATTTAACCATTGGTTGATCGACTGATATTCAACTTTCAACAGTAATGTAGCTTGCGATGATTATATGCTACTAATGACGTAACGCACAGAATCCATCATTAGGCGACACGGGACTTTAATTCCTTTAAAGGGACAATAACACTCTTGCTGGATTGACAGCTCCAGAAAATAAATAATAGCCTTATTCTAAGTACTAGATGTGTTAGTGTCCTACCTGTTGTGTAAATTATCCATTAAATCCTATTTTACTTGTCCAGAGGGTTCAAAAATATTTTTAAATCCAAGTCACATTTGAAAAGCTTTACGTTAGGCTTTTCAAATCATTTAGTTGAATTTTTCCAATTTTTTAAATTAGGTGTGTTAAGATGAAATTTGTATCATCAATTAATTGGAATATTGTAAAATAGTACAATTTGTTGACCAGAATAAAGATTGGGACATATTATTCAGTTACAACAAGAGTGGTATTGAACCTTTAAAGTAAAACTATCGAACTAATCTGTGCTAAGAAGATGGGCGTGAATTAGTCACCTCTCATCGCGACCAGTGTCTTAAGGCTTTAAATGTAGATGGGTTAATTATAGATGTACCCATCCCGCAAGTTTAAATGCGTTCGTTCGTTCCTGGGGTTTGATGTCCACTTCCACCAAGGTATGTTTAACCATCCGGCAAGTTTAAATGCGTTCGTTTTTTCGGTCCTGGAGTTTTACGTCCCCTTCCATCAAGGGTGATATCGCAGACAAGGAGTTTAAATGCAAATATATTCATTATTTATAGACCCCGTCCCATCGGTTTTATAGGGTGTTTAAAGTGCGTCTCATTATAACTGTAACTTTATGTATTTATATATCTAAGAAATAAATTCTTTTATGTGTCAATTTAAGTTCCTATTATTAATTTTATGGACATACACGATACATAAAACCCTGCACGTATGTAAATTGATATAAACCCGGTTTGTCGTACCTTGGGAGAAATAAAGGATTTAACGTCCTACTCTTGTTCTCCGACTGGCCTAATCAAGACTGTCATACGCCATGCAGGGATCGAACACGTGATCTCCAGGTTACCAAGCCAACGTCCTACCCACTCTTTTATCGTATTCCAACTGTCAAGGGATCTTTTACGTGCACGCCAATGTGTACACTGGATCTCGGTTTTTCGTCTCATCCGAAGGACTAGACAGCTCTCCTTGTCGGGCCCTCCATCCTGCACCACTGACAAGGGGAAATCACGTCGGAAAATCTGGATGAACTTTCTCGGCTAATGCAGAGATTGAACACCTGATCTCCAGGCTATCGAGCCAGTGTCTTATCCAACCCACTTATCCACCGTGACACCCCTAATATAAATGTAGTTTGTTGTGTCCACGTATTTGTATTATCGGGGAGGGGGGTGGATGGCTGAATGGTTAGCACGTGCGTGCTGTATCATAAAGTCTGTCATTGAGTAAACTGGCGTGGTTTCGAATCCCCGGTTGTACGTGACATTGAGTAGGGTCGCCTGTCCAACTTCGTGGGTTTTCTCCGGGTCCTCTGGTTTCCTCCCACTGCCAAAGATCCCTACGCGCAAGCGAATTATGGAAATAACATTGAACCATATGTAAGTCCCGAAATGACCTAGTTTGTGTCGAGTGGACGTTAAACCCCATCTCTCTCCCTCTCCCTCTCTCTCTCTCCCTCTCTCTCTCTGTATTATCGGTTTTGTTTGCACTTAGAATACTATACACCAGGTGGGTTGAAACCACGGGTCTTATGGAGACGGTTCTCTGAGATTTAGCGTATCATTTGATATATCCGAACGAAGCGACTAACATATGGTCCAATTTTATTTCTGGAGGATCCGGAGAAAACCCAAGAGATTGGACAGGCGACCCTACTCCTTGTCACGTACAACCAGGAAATCAAAACCACGCCAGTTGACTAAATGACATACCTTATGATACAGCACCCACGTGCTAACCATTCGCCCCCCCCCCCCCCATGATTAAAGGAGGGGAGCCGCTAACTCAATATCATCCACAGTCTTCGACGTTACACAACACGACCTTATAGTCAATTTAAATCAACATTGTTCTTGTTATTTTGCAGGTTAGGAGCAGAACAGTAGGACGTTAAACCCCATTTCATTTCATTTCATTTCTTGTTATCTTACCGTGAAAAGATGGGCTTTTGATATCCAATATTTACGACAAAATAAACATTTTAAAAATAGGCACACGAATCGAGTGCCAAAATCCTTTGAGCGCCATTTGTAATGACGCAATTCTATGAATTCGGCTAAACATATCCCATGGGAGAATACTGCCGGTGTAGACTGGAATAACCAAGCGCCAAAGATTGCCATTCAATTTGGACTCTTCGCGTATCTCGCCAAACATAACCGATAAGAAATTACAGTAAAAACAGAAACGACTGAATGCAAATCAGTTTATATACATTCATATTATTACATTGTTATATGTGCTGCGGTCCATATTTGTCCATTTCTAGTTGCCAAAGAAAACAGATTTAGCTCCTTTAAAGTTAAAGATACATTATGTAAGATTTAGATAAAGAGCTGACCATTCTTGCTATAATAGCTCAAAAATAGATAATGTAAAATGAAAATATTGAAAATTTCATTCCAATTACTTCACTCTGAGTCAAATTATCATTGTTTGTAGTTTTGACAAGATGTGTGCATTGTGGTAACTATGGCACTGGTATATTCGAGACTTAGCCTCGCTTTCCCATTTTCAAATTAAATTTTTAAATGGCGAACCGTTCTAATCTGGTTAAAATCTCGAGTATCCGATGCCATCGAGAGTTGATTATGGTCTTGTTTTGCTAATAAATGTCTAATTAATAATTTATATAACATTTCAGGCCTAAAGAAAGACGTGCAATAGACAGATTTAGCTCGTGTATAATGTATGTTTAATATGATTAATACAATGACATCATTATTATTGTGACGTCATAATGTATGTTTAATTTAAATAAAAAGATTATTTCATCTGTTTTCGTGGTACAGAGCCCTATACTCGAATTCGAGGGGCATATACTATCAATGACCTGCCCATACTGCACGCAGCGATCCATCTACGTCATACTTCAAGAATACATCACTGTCCTAAATACCGTCCATTTAAAACGCTCACGTGATCATTTTGGGGCTGGACTTATCGACTTTGTACATCCGAAGCACGTGGTTTATGTAAACAAATGTCGACTTCTGCCACTCCGGTAAAAGTGATATATAATATGTGCTAGTGGGTAATATTACAATACAGTCTTTACCATTGTAAACTGTCTTTACAGTTTCAATCTGTTTACCTTTCAAAACAAGGTTAGATACTCCTAAATTTGTCTACGCAAACAAAACCGCTTCCGTGAAATTATCTTTCATGGGCGCCGCCATATTGAATAATTAGTGGACTATTTCGTGATTCCGCTCTGATCAGTTTGACATCTTTCATACACACAACGGCTAAATAAACATATTTAATTTCATTCAATATGAAAATAGAAGAAAAATAAATACTTCTAAAAATTACTAAAAGCATACTCAGTGTTTTCGACTAAAATCGTCGATGTAGGAATTAAAATGTCGGTTAATTAGTTTCGGGCCTGTTCTCGGGCGGAGCTAGCTGTAGACAGACAGCCTAAGTTTGGGATGTGACCTGCCCCGGCGGCATCCCCAAACTTCTGTGCACTACGGAGACTAGTTCTACCGAGTCCCCGCTTTAACGTGGACAACTGACCCAATATCTGACGTTCCCTTTTATATATTCTAATATTGTTTACTTTATTTATTTCACTTACGTCAGCAAGTGGTCCGATTAAAATAGGTATGCTTTATCATATTTATAATAATTAACATCACATACATTTGGTCTCTAGGTCAAGGACGCAGAGAGAGAGAGAGAGAGAGAGAGAGTTTAACATCCACTCGACACAAACTATGTCATTTCGGGAATAACATTTGGTTAATTTTCATTTCAATAATTCGCTTGCGTAGGGGGCTTTAGCAGTGGAAGGAAACCGAAGGACCCGGAATGAAACCGCAATGCAACTAAGGAGATGGCTCCGGGCGTCACCAATCTCCAGCAAGCCTCTGAATCTACGGTGTTACTCATGGGAATAACTAAAAATGTGCCGAGCCGATCGCTGGAATCGTGGCAAGTTACTATGGTGACTGATCTGCGTTGTTCTCGAGAAGGTCGTGTGCTGATCGGCAGTAGTAACTGTGCTCAGATCTCGGACATCAGCTTATCGTATTCATTCCGGCTTTTATTTATCACACACTGACAATATCGTTCGTAAGTTCCGTGAGGATTATTTCCCTTGATTTAAACCCTCGCCCCAAACAACCGTCTTCACCTTCCTATTTTTTGCTTGGCCATTTTTGGCAACTGTTTGCTCTAGAATCGAAGAAAAGTGTTTGACTTTTGACTTTTTATCCCAGTTTTTGGCGAATATTCATGGTTTAGAGAGAAGCGGATCGATAAGAGGTTGGCCATGGTGATATGTACGGACGATGGTTACATGTTTATTAGTATGCTACTTCCATTTTATGTATCTCAAACTTCCATTAGCAACCTGGGGCAAGACATGGGTAGAAATTTCTCCGCTTGTAGCAAAGAGTTTTCCGTCCAACGAAAATATTGTGAAATGTTCGATCCGGTCAAAGTGATACGCATTAAATTAACGTTAAAAAATC